TGAGACAGAGAGAACCCAAACAAGGAGGGAGAGGACTTTGTGGAAGAGAATGGGTAGATGGTGGGATGTCCAGGGTTTACGGCAGATAAGGAGAGAAAGGAGGTGAATGTGTAGGCTATTGAAGCAAGATGAGCTTTGATTGTTGAAACAGAGTGAAGCCTCTAGAAGAATTTACAGCCTCAGAAACTGAGGGGTCACCCCGAGCCAGAATCAATTGAGCGGCAGAGGGTTTAGGCTTGGGTGGCACAATGGGGTTTGCGACTGACAAAAGGTTGTTAGTTAGGACCCACCCATGGGGCACACGGAAGAGAGGCCTGGTAATAAAGACTCAAGCCAGCACAGCCCCCTGGAGCACAGTTCTGTTCTGAACATCTGGGGTTATGTGAATCGAATTAATAACACGATTGCAGGCACCTTGGAAGAAAGGCCCGCTGATCTACCCAGAAAAACCAACCATTGAAAATCCTGTGGTGCACGAGTCCACTCTGGCACACATTTGCTCCAAGGCAACTGGGTTTTGTATTGTTTTCTTACCACACATCTTCCAGTTGGGATATGTGATGTGTCCTACTTTATTACATAATATCAAGTAATAGAGCGAGTATTTCTCAAATGCTGTGACACTGGGGATCTGCATTGAGTCCAGGTTTCTGTGGCAACTTCAGCACAACCTGGGCACTGTCACTATCTCTCCCAGCTTGTGGCCTCAGCTTTCAGGGTGTGCGAAGTCTTGGGGTCAGAGAAATTCTCAGAGAATGGTGGCTTGGACACCCCAAGAACAATGGGGAGAGAACGTGAGGGAGTCTGATGAGATGAGGGAATTTTGAACGGCAGTAGCATCATGTTGGAAAGAAGGAAGGAGAGGAAGACATTTACTTTGTAATCCTTTACTAGAATCATAGTTTAAAAAGTTAATAGAGCAATTGGACTTTTGGCATATAACAGTGGGCTCAAGTATATATCAGAGACAGTGAGGAAGGCCTGTGATAGGGCAGAGTTCAGATTCATTGTTGACAGAGTCACTGAGTTGTAGCCGACTCAGTGGCACCTCACAACAACATTAACAACTAGCAACCTAAGTGTGAGTTAAATTCCCCTTCGGTAGGAACTGCCCTATGCTGGAAGGCCAAGCAAATCTGCTACTATTTATCTGAAGCCTGTTGTGATTGCTTTAAAGGCAGGTTCATGTTCATGTGGATACTTCTAGAATTTCTGCACTACTTTCTGCTAACTTATTTTTAATATATACAATTCACATTATTCCAACTTATAATTGATAACAGATTGATTTAAGTATATGCCATTACAAGTTCCTTGATAACAAGCAAAATTTTTGAGCAGCTGCTCATTTAGTTTCTGAGAGTTGATTGAATACACACCAAAATATCACTGTAGAAGAGTTCGAAAAGAAGGGGAAATGGAAACAGGAGACGTATGGAGGTCGTGGGACGCTTCACATTGTGGGACTGCAGTCAGTGTCAGAAAACAAAATGTATTTGAGTTGTTGAATGGGAAATCAATTTTCCCTGTCAACTTTCACCCAAAATTGGGTGTTGAGTAGAAAACTGATCTGCTCTGTAAACTTTCAAACCTCTCTTTGGGTGGAAAAAGATAACTTGTGGAGAGCATAGTTATTTAGCTGCCTATTTTTAAGTGTTTTATTTTGAAAAATCTCAAATAGAGACAGAGAGGGTTCACCCCCTTCAGGGACAGGCTCACCATCTCCTTCTGCCCTGAAGACTTCATGTTTTTGTTCTTGGTGCCACTGAGTTGGAGCTGACTCCTCACTGAGCCTCCAGTGGTTCTCAGAGGCAGGAAATCGTATGGGAGGAGATTGCCCATTTTTCCCCCCACGGAGCAGCTGGTGGATTCAAACGTGCCTTTGGGATTGCGTCACAGCTTCTTACCGCTAGGCCACCAGGGCTCCAGGAATAGACAGCCTCATTTCTGCTGCAGAGTGGCTTATGGACTCAAACCGCTGGCCTTTGGGTTAGAAGCCTAACACGTAACTCCCTGTGCCTCAGGACTCCTTGTGCCAGCCCGCGGCCTGCGCGTTTATAGCAGAGAGTGAGGAACCATTCCTCTTTGTCCCCGTGTTAGAGGAGGCTGGACAGGGCAGTGTAAACTTCCCCACTTGTCCTCAGTCCTCACTTGCTGTGACATTTTGAACACTGAAACGCACAAATGGAACTCATGTTTCTTACTTTGAGGACTCGCTTGCAAGCTTCAGAGTGTTGTTTTTTTGTTAGGTGCCATTGACTTGAGTACCACCCATAGCGACCCTACAAACAACAGATTTTTTTTTTTGATGCAACAGCAAGAGATAAGAGGTTTATTGCGGAGCTCCAGGGCTGGCAAGAGATAGAGGAGCCGACCGCGAGCAGACAAAGTTGGGTTTTTTTATACACTTTAGGGGGATGCAACTGAGTATCAGCTTCTCATTGGGTGATGAACAAACAACAGATCTGAACCCGGCCCTATCCTGTGCCGTCCTCTTGTTGTTGTGTACTGTTGAGTTGGAACCGACCCATAGCTGACCCTCCGGTGGGTTTTCAGAGGCAGTTAACAGCACAGAAGGAGATCGCCCATCCTTCTCCCAAGGAGCAGCTGGTGGATTTGAACCATGTGCCTTCAGGATTGCAGCACAGCACCTTGTCACTAGGCCAATTTTTTAGTGTCAGTGTGTTCTTTTTGGTATAGTAATTTTTTGTATTCCCTCCATCTTCTTTTTTTTTAGCTTTATTTTTTTATTTTTATTTTTTTTTAAATTTTTGTGTGAGTGTACCGTCAAATCAGATCTGACTGGTACAGGAGGAGATTGTTCCTCCTTTTCCCGGCAGAGCATCTGGTGGATTCGAACCATGTGCCTCTGGGATTGTAGTTGCAGCTCCTTGCCACTAGGCCACCAGAGCTCCCCTTCCCTCCATCTTCTTGATGCTTTCTGGGTCATTCACTATATTGCCCACAGCGTGTTTCAATATTGATACTCAAAGCCTAAATTTGTTTTTCCATTCTCTGAGATGAGAAATGCAGAGCAAGTTCTTCCCTTTTTACTCTCCAATTCCTACTATCTGCACATCCCGTTATAATGCTTTGCTGCTGCTTCTTGAGCTGCCCTTTGAAATCTTCTGTTCAGCTCTTTTACTTTGCCTTGTTTTCCCTTCGTTTTGTCTTCTCAACAGTCTAGTGCAATTTCCAAAGTCTCTCTGACATCTATTCCAGTTTTTTCTTTCTCCTTTGTCTTTATAATGACCTTGCACTTTCCTCATGGATGATATCCTTTATATCATCCCACAACTCATCTGGTCTTCAGTCATTGGTGTTCAGTGCATCATACCTATTCCTAAGCTGATCTTCACATTCAGATGGAACTGACTCAAGATCATATCTTGGTTCTCATGGACTTGTTTTAACTTTCTTCAGCCTCAGTTTGAACTTTGCTGGTACTGTTGTTAGATGCCATCAAGTCAAGTACAACTCACAGAGACCCTATGAACAAAAGACACTCCTCAACACACAAGAGCCCATTGCATCAGTCACCGTGTCAGTCCACCTGGTTGAGTCTTCCTCTCCTTCACCGACCCTCCACCCTTCCTAGCATCATGTCTCTCTCTGAGGAAAGCAGGGACTGCAGGTGCTGAAGGGAACATGGACCTTCCTCCAGGACTGACCCAGAGAGGATCGCACCTAGAGTCAGCTCTGACCAGAACTAGGCCAGGGGCGACTGAGTCACCCTGTCCGTTATTCACGTGTAAGTTCATATTGCAGTTAAAATGGAAGAATGACTCCTACTTAAGGTGTGAGTAGGAAAGCTGAGTGGGTGTGGTCTGGCCAGCAGGTATACTCTGCAGACCCCTGGCTTTTCTCCCAGGTTAACTCTGAATGGGCTGCTGGTAAAGGCACTGGGTAGAAGTCAGTGATGATGTGAATCACCAGCTCCTTCAAGTCTGTGGTTAGTCACAGTGCTTTCTAAAAATAGCTTGTTATTATCACATCTGTGACCTTGGACATGACTCCTTAGCCTCTTGTTGCAAAATTGGTCTCCGTGACCTTTAGAATTCTTTGCTTCTCCATAGTTCTACCCTATTGATTAAATAAAGAATTAAGGGATGATGAAAGCAGAACTCTTGGAGTCACCCTTCTGGACTCCTGGGTGTCCAAATTCAGGGTGCTGGCTCTCAGGGGGGCCTCTCTGTGTCAGTCCTGGAGGAGGGTCTGTTTCCTTCAAGCACCTAGACCCCACCGTCTTGGAGGCCTCCAAGTGTCTTGGCCCTCTGTGAGGCCAGAGAGCTTCCTAATGCAGACACCTGAGTTCAGAGGACATGCTCCCCCCAGTGATGCGTTCTTGGGGTACTGACGCCTCTTTTCATGGCTCACTTTCCTCCCTTTTCATCTCTTGTGAGAAAAAAAAGGTGTTGTAGGCCACACCCTAGGGAAGCCCCCTCACATCCAGTCAGGGCTGTGGACTAAAGGGTGCTGCTGTGTTCCACTCTTAAGAAGTCCTGGTGATGTAGTGCGTAACATATCAGGCTAACCAAAAGGTCAGCAGTTTAAATCCACCGTCCACAGGAGAAGAAGGGCAGTCTCCTAGAAAAATGTACAGCCTCAAAATCTGAAAGTCAGAACTGACTTGCTGGTGGAGGGTTTGGGTTTTGGGGTTTGTATTCAACCTGTAGACAGCGCTGGTAGCTTAGTTGTAAGGAGTTGTATTGCCATCTCAAAGGCAGGTAGTTCAAATCCATCCGCTGCTCCGCAGGAGACAGATGGGCACACACATGTATTTTGGGGGCACAATTCAATCTGTGACAGTTCCCATGGCTCTGAGTTTATGGAAGTGGACTGCTGCATCTTCCTGCCTAGTGACTGGGGCAAGGGGCCTCCGGCCTCTCAGACAGCTGTGGAGCACTTTCCCACTGTCCTACTGGGGCTCCGGTGGGGACCCTATTGGGAGCCTGCTTTCCATCTCTGGACACACGTGCCTTCTGTCTGTCAGGAGGCGCATTCTCCCAGGGATGGTCTCCCACTCAGAGCTGAGGAACCTTTTCTGTTCGGCTGATGCCGTCTGTTTCGACGTCGACAGCACGGTCATCCGAGAAGAAGGGATCGACGAGCTGGCCAAGTTCTGTGGTGTTGAAGACGCTGTCTCGGAAATGTAGGCACGGTATTTGCAGGGTGTACTGAGAGCTAAGGGGTTTGGAGGTGGAGGGAGAGTTCTGGGTGAAATGCCAGGACAGAGCCAGGTGCCCAGGTTTCATCCCCAGCTGGGAAATGTGGGTGTGACGGGCTTTTATTCAACCATTTAGCGGTGGGTTTGAAAGCGCATGCATGTATCCATCCAACACAATATTGAACATGAGCTCAGTCTGTAACAGAGAAGAAACCCTCCCAGCTTGACGCGTGATACAGCCAGTCCCGAGATGAGCACAGCCGGAAGGCCCTGACTGTTCAGCTCTGCGTCATGGCAGAACAAGGTGGCCTTCAGGGTTTATGAGAAAGCTGCTCTGTCTGGAGTCTTGGGCCCACTGGGTCAGAGCCTCTCCCTCCATCCCTCACACCTGCTGGTGCAGCAGTACCAGCCTCTTCTGTAACTGTCCCAGCTCTGCCTGCGACCAGCAGGTCCCCAAGCATGTCGTGTTCAGGTGTCCACGTGCCCCAGACTTCAGGGTTCTTCCCTGCTCCGCTAAGCACCTGGCTTCTGTCTCCGGTGTTGCTCTGACAGAAATGGTGTAAGTGGGTGATGTGTCAGATTGTTACTGTCTGACAGTTCAGGAGCTAGAAGTCCAAATTCAGGGTGCGGCTCTGGAGGAAGGCCCTCTCGGTCCCCTTGGAGGGTCCCTGTGTCCTTCAGCATCCATAGGCACAGGGCTTCGTAGGAATCTCCGTGTGCCTTGGACACCACTGGTGACCAGGAGTCTCCCAGTGCTGAGACCAAGTCTCCAGGACATGTTCCATTCTGGGTATTGTGTTCTTGGTGATGCTGAGGTCCCCCTCTCTCCTTTCACTTCCCATGAGACCCCAGCACCCGCCCCCCCGACACTCCCCTTCCATCAGATCAGGGCTGTGATGGCGTTACGACTCCATGGCGCTTAACAACATTATTCCCTACTTAAGCCTTTGACAACTGCTCGTTTCATCAGTTCTGGGTGAGAAGGGTCATTACAGCATTTCTGAGCTATACAGCATACACATGTATTTTTTGGGGACACTGTTCAGTCCATTCATACACATGTAGTTTGGGGGGGACACGGTTCAATCCCTGACAACTCCCAAGGAAGAAGCCCACAGACAGGAGGTGTGAACCCTGTTCACTGGGCGAAAGGTACTCGTGGAGACCAGCTTCTCCAGCACGCTTTAGTCTGTTCCAGGTCACCCCGTGGTAGTGTGCAGGTCTGTGGTGCAGGGGCTCCCCCAGGTGCGTGTTGGGAGGGGCTGGGCCGAGTACCAGGTCTGAGGGTTCTGACTGCTGGGTCTTCCTCCCAGGACCCGCCGGGCCATGGGCGGGGCGGTGCCATTCAAGGCCGCCCTCACCGAGCGCCTGGCCCTGATCCAGCCGTCCAGGGAACAGGTGCAGAGGCTGTTAGCGGAGCACCCCCCACACCTGACCCCCGGGATAAGGTGAGAGAACCCCACCAACCACCCCTCAGGGGGCATGTTCTCCTGAGAGTGTGGCCCCGAACCTGAGAATTCCCACCTGCATGGTTCTCCCCATACTTGTATATGGTTTTTATTTTTTTGGGGGAAAAAAGCAAACAAAAATGTGTTTTCTCTGATAACTTTAAGTCTAAAATCCAGGTGTCTTGTAGGCCACGGCCTTGTCTTCACAATGGTTAAGGCCTTCAGCTGCAAACCAAAAGGTCGCTGGGCATTTATAACCTGTAGGCTGCTGGAGTTTAGAATTTTTTTTTCCTTTTAAAGGCTAAAGTTTATTTTTACTTACAGATGCTCAAGAGAATTTCTTTTTCATTAGTTTATTTACAAAATTCTAATACAAATTCGAATTCTTTCCATTTCCCTCACCCCCCACCCATAAAATTGTACAACCCCATGATTAATCTCCCCTTCCCCCTATACATCCACATCCCTCTGCTACTAGCCTCTCTCACCCCTCCTGGATCCTTATACTCATTCTACAATAACGGGTTTATACAATATTTATCTTTGAGTTAGTTCACTCAGCATAATGCTCTCCAGTCCCTCCCAAGTTAGGTAATAATTTACAAAATCGTTGCTCCTGCATGCTACAGAATATTCCAAGGTGTGAATGTACCATAATTTCTCAATCCATTCGTTTGTGGTTGGACATTTGGGCTGTTTCCATGTTCTTGCGATGGTGAATAATGCTGCTGTGAACATTGGTGTACAAAATTCAAGAGAATTTTTAAAAAGTCCAAAAAAATGAAAGACATCCAGGTTTAATAAAGCTCCTGGTAAGCCGGCGGCCACCTGGGCCTCCGTTGCCTCAGGCTGACCGTCCTTCTGGCCAGGATGGTGCCTGCGTGACTTCCAGATCGGAACTAGATGGTTCTAACTTCAGCGTCCGCGAAAGCCCTTCACAGTAAAAGTGACATAGAACAGCACTTCCCGCAGCTGCCACTGATGGTACAGCGCCCAAGGTTGTATCGTTCTTACCCCAACGCACTAACGTAAATCCAGAAATCCAAATTACAAATCCAGTTCATAGAAAGCAGGTGCATTTGCAGATTTTAGCGAAGATGGGTCCTCCACTATTGCCCACCACCTTATCGCAAAGCTATCATGACAAGTCTTACCTGATATTTATGCCACAACTTTAACAAGAGTAACAGCAAACAATCACCAGGAAGAAATAGAAAATTATACTTGAAGCAAAAAACTCCAGTTTCCATTGTGCTATTTCTGACTTGTGATGGCTCCATGCATGTCAGAGTAGACCTGTGCTCCACAGGGTCCTAGGACAGACATTTTCAAAGTGAATCGATCACCAGGCTTTTCTTCTGAGGCACCAAGGGTAGACTTGAACCTCTGACTTTCTCGGTTAGCAGTCATGACTTCCAAGGGACTCCAGAAAAGTGTGTATGAAACATGAATTCACCAGGTCGTGTCGTCAGATGTCCCCCAGGCACACGTTCCAGGAGAAGAATACACGTTGCCGTTTCTCGTTCGCATTTCAGCCCCTCTGTGTGAACATGCCCAGTGTTTCTGCTTTGTTCCTGCAGGGAGCTGGTGAGTCGCCTCCACGAGCGAAACGTCCAGGTCTTCCTGATCTCCGGTGGCTTCCGGAGCATCGTGGAGCACGTGGCCACCAAGCTCAGCATCCCTCCGGCCAACATATTTGCCAACAGGCTGAAATTCTACTTTAACGGTGAGACTCTCCTTGTCACGTGTCCCTTTTCTTTCCATTTTAGCACTGATAGGTTATTTATTGGCTCGCAACTTGAGAGGGGCCGCATCTGGTTTAAATGTTGGGACAGACCTTTCTTCTGAGACCTTTGCTCTGCAGAAAGTCGTCTTCTGGCTGGCTTCCCCGCCCCACCCACTGTGCATCCTCTGAGGTGGAAATCTTAATGGGAAAAGATCGTTCATCTCTTCTGGTCCCCGCTGGATCTTTCTCATCTCTTTCACCCACTCCCTCCACCCACCAAACTGTGCAGCCCTGAGATTTCATCCCTGCCCATCCCCACTCTTCTGCTCCCAACCCTCACCCTCTTAGATCCCTATACATGTTTTTCACAATTAAAAAAAAAGAAAAAGAGAGAGAGCTCATCTGTCTCCCAAGGAGCAGCTGCTGGGTTTGAACTCCTGACCTTTTGGTTAACAGCACAGCATGTTGTGCCCTGTGCCACCACATCGCTTGGTAATTACCTAGCTGCATACTGATGTCTGCAGTTAGCCAGACCCCAGTACCTGCATGATCCATGTCTTGGTATGTGCCATGTTTCAATTTTATGAGCCCCCTCATTTATTTGGGAGCAATAGGGGTGTAGCCCACAGGGAGTTGTGCGGCTAACCCAAAGGTCGAGCCTCTCTCTTGGTTCGAGTCCACCAGGATGTCCTCAGGAGAAACGTGGACACTGTCCTCTCATGATGTAGAACGTCAGAATCCAAAGGCAGGGTCAGCTCTGAGTGATTCGCGACTCGACAGCAATGCGTGCAGTTGCTGAGTCTCATTTACTGGGGAGTCCTGGTTGGTGCAAATTATTAACGTGCTGCAAACTGGAAGGTTGGTGGTCCTGCCACACCAGCTGCTCTCCTGCAGAGATTTGCAGCCTCAGAATCCTGGGGGAGAGCTGCCGTGAGTCAGAATCGACTGGGAACACTGGGTTTGGGCAGAGATGGAGAGGGTCGTGTGTTGCTTAAGCACTTACCTGCCAACTGACAGCTCAGCGGTTCAAACCTGTCAGCCGCAGCATGGGAGGAAGATGAGGCCTTTGCTTCCGGGAAAGTTTACAGAAATTCCCTGGGACGGTGAGCGGGTGAGGGGGGAATGCCTGACCTCACATAACAGGCAGCCTCCCCCGTCCCTGAATGCTGCTCCTGAGTGCTGTCAAGTGAGAACCAGCTCGTAGCTGACCCTCCAGCAGGTTTTCAGAGGCTGTAAACTGCACAGGGGAAGATTGCCCAGCTTTCTCCCACGGATTCAAACCACCTCTCTTGGAGTTGGCAGTGTGACTCCTTATCTGCTGGGCCACCAGAGGTCATAAGAAAGTCCTTATTCCAGAAACAGACAAGCCTGTGTGTTCCCATAGTTAACACATAGTTAAAATAACACGTAGTTAAAATAACACGTAGTTATTTGTATCTCATGATGTTCTTCCACCTAAACAAGGTTTGAGAGTGATGATACTGGAAGTTTAAGAGGAGGAAACTAATCAGCCTGAGATGTTCATGGA